TATAAACTTTCTCATGGGAAAAAAATGACGGCCACGAGAATATTTTTATTCATTTTCGTGGGCAAAAAAACTTTCTTCCTTTTTAGAAACTTTGTTTTTTTCTCGATAAATATTGTTCCGGATACACTTTTTCTCGTTATTCATCTTACAAATGGCGGAAATTTGTATGTTTTTGTTGCTTTGATACATTTTTTCGTGACTACAACTCCATGAGAAAAATTTGAGAAAAAAATGGATTTATTTTTTTAAATTTTCGAAAAGATTTTAGTTCAGTTTCCTGTTTCGAAACTTCTATTTAATTGATTTTTCTATGTTGTTTCCGTTTTTTTCGTAAGCCATTAAAAAAACATTGGCAAAAAATATTGAAAATACGGATTTATTTGGATAACTAGGCCATGACCTGAATTTCCAAATCGATTGCTTACGAGGAAATTTTGATCAATATTCAGTAAGAGAAAATATATCTGGATTTTCATCAAAAAGCGGTTTTAGGTTGTCCCTTAAGTGATTAAAAGAATAATTTTAAAAAAGGGCGAATTTCTCAATAGAGCAACTATTCCAGGCGTCAAAATTGAATCGAGGGAATTTTTTGGTTTTTTTTTTCAATGAGCCTGATATTATCATTAGAGCGCGTTTTCTGAAAAAAATGATTAATATAATCTATAGTTCATCCAAAAATTTCTTCGTCTTCTTCCCGTGATAATTTTTTTGAAATATTTTTTTCTGTAAAAAAATTTATTTTTTTCTTGTTTATTAGGCCAATTCAAAAAGTACTCGACAATATTATCATTGGAGCACCTTTCCCGTTCAAAACCCATCTTTTTTGATTTTTTTTTTTCAAATTTTTTCATAACTTGATCTTCCTATAATCTCTAGCCAATCTAAAAATACTCGTTACCTTCCAAAGAATAATTTGAATGTAAGACGAGAGCCGCGGAATCCACTCAAATATGCCAATAAATGGGTAAGCCGCCGCCGCAATGAGATTTCTTCGTCTTCTTCGTGTTTTTTGTCCTCTCATCCAATATTTATCAAATTGTGGGAGATTTTCGGCCTTTCGAGAGGAATTTTCAGCCTTTTTCTATTGAGTAGTAGACTAGATTCAATGCCATCTTTCTAAAAAATCCCTTCCGAAACTCTAAATCTCTTATTTTTGCGCACTATTTCGCCTTGAGCTACCGGTAAAATCTCAAAAAAGGTTCTGAATAAGACAAAATCGAAAAAAAGTTTTGGAAGAAAAAGCCTCGATAAAATAGCAAAATGTGCTCCATTGATAACTTCAAAGCAATTCCGAAAAATCTTAAAAAACCGCCAAAAATTACCAAGGAAAAAACAGCCGAAGTATGCTGAAGCAAGTGTGCTCCATTGAGAAAACGAAAATTATCACTGAAAAAGTGATTTTTGAAGCAAAAAATGTTCTGTTTCCATAAAATTTGGCTGATATGACCAATTTTTCAAGATCTCTATAAAATTGCAAGCTTTCTCTTCAAAAAAACAAGCAAAAAATTGGCCAAATCGGTCGAATTTCCATCTTCTTTTTTTATTTTTTTATAAAAAAAGGTGAAAAATTAAAAAAATAGCTGTATTGTAAATAGCAAAGGTGCTCTAATGAAAAAAATTTTTTTTGAACTTTTCCCTTTTTCATAATGATATTCGTTTCAATGAATAAAGAAACAATAACTTAATAATTTTAAAGGAGCATAGCCATATTTTATTAAAAGGTCTCGAAGCGAAGAGCCGTTTTTAGTCTTGCAAAACCCCGGAAACTATTTTTGAGCAAATTTTACCTTTTTCCCATATTTTTTTCCATCAATTTTTTTTCTATAAAACTAGCGAAAAGCAAAGAAATAGCTTTCTGTTGACAGGCAAGATTGCTCTAATGATAAAAATATGACTTTTTGAGTTTTTCGCTTCTTTATAAAGATATTCTATCTCTGAATGAATAAAGAAACATAAAAATTCTGATTCGCACAAAAATTTTTAAATGATTTTAAAGAAGCATAGACATATTTCATCGAACGGTCTCGAAGCGAAAAGCCGTTTTTGAGCCCTATAATCGCCGGAAACCATTTTTGAGCGAAATATACGCTTTTTAAAGTGTTTTCCATCCATTTTTTTTTTGAAACTGTGAAATTTAAAAATAGCTGTATTGTGAATGTCAAGCGTGCTCTAATGATGAAAACATGCTTTTTTGAATTTTTCGATTCTTTGTGAAGATATATCTCTGAATAAGTTAAGAAACATGAAATTCTAATTTGCAAAAAAAAAAATCATTGATCAGTTTAAAGGAGCATAGTCATATTTTATTAATAGGTCTTGAAGCGAAGAGCCGTTTTTGAGTCCGGTAGAAGTTTTTGAGCAAACTATACGCTTTTTAAGTATTTTTCCAAGAAAAATTCGGAAAATTAGCCCCATCAGTTGGGTAGCATCTTCTCCATGGGAAAAAGTTGGAGGTTCTCATTTTTTATTCATCTCACTTCCTCCTCAACTTTTTCCCGTTTCCTATGCTTTCTTAATAGTTACTATGACTAAGATGATGTTATTTTTGCCGTTTTCGTGATACTTTATTCATAGCCATGTTGATTTTCTACGCAGAATGTTCCTGGAACTGGAAAAATTATCGAAAATTATTAAAATAAGTTCAAAATTCAGAACTTTCAGAGGAATATTTTTCAACTAACTTCCCTGATTTTTCTCTAAAAAATTTAAAAGTTATAGATTTTACCAATTTTTTTTACTTGAACCCTCATATTGAAGGAAGACTTTTGGCGACGTGCGTCCGACTTGAAACGACTTCCGCGCTTTTTTTTTCTCACTTTTAAAATGTTAATAATTAACCTATAACTCCGTTGTTTGAAGAAAGGTTACATGCAAAAAATCAGATAAGCACGTGGAATGGCTGAAACTGCGCCCGACCAAAAACGACTTGCGCACGATCGTGTCAAAATTTGAACCGCAACGCGACCGCGACGCGACCGCGACGCGACCGCGACGCTCCGAGCTATTCCAAATGGCGTTTTTGAATTTTTTCAATACTTTTCAACTCACAAAAGCTTGAAATTGAAAAATATGGGTGAAAATTATTATTTTACACATTTTGAAGTTATTTTTTGAGCTAAAATACTTGAAAAACTCCCAACTTTTTCGAGTCCAAAGATTCAAAATCCGATTAAACCCGCTTTCCAAAAGCTTCAGTAACATATCCAAAAATAAGTCCATTCGAAGCCTCAAAACCCCTTTTTTTTCATCTTTTTTTTTACTCCTTACGTAGCCTCCAAATCCGGCTATAATCCCATATCTTTCGTGTTCATTCTCCTTTTTTTATGAATCTTATTTGTCTTATTTTTCAATCCTGATCATTGATATTCGTTTTAGAATTTGATTTTTGTTGAAGGAAAATATTAAAATTACACTGGAACGGCTTTTTTGTTCAAATTTTCAACAGAAAAGTCAAAGAAATCGTCATTTTAACTCAGAAAAAACGAAAAATCCGCCGAAAAATCGTTTCAAAACAGTTAAATCCATACTGCCGCAACTTTGGTTCCATAGCTCAACTGGTAGCGGTCTTGACTGCGGATCAAAGGGTCACGGGTTCAATCCCACTTGGAATCAATTTTTTTTTTTGCCATTTTTGCAATCACTTCCTAGGATCATTTTTCATGAATTATGACTGTAGGAAAACTGTTTTTGTTCATGGCGCAGCTGGGAAAACTTTATTCGCAGATCCAAGGGTTATTGGTTCGGTCCCTGGTCACGTTTTTTTTGGGAAAAATCATTGAGAAAAATCAGATTTTCCTAATTTTTTGGCTTCTAACTTCAAAAAGCCATTATTCAACGTTTTTTTTAAGCTTAACTTCAAGAAGGAACTGAAATAACCCAATTTTCTGGTTTCCAATAAGGTTTGCCGCCGTAAATCACCACAAAAAAACGCCCAATTTTCTGACCTTAACCCTATTTATTTTATTTTCTCTTAGTTTCCAGGGCAACAAATCGTTTTCGAATTGTTTATAGCTTTCGCAATGGGCCTAATCGAGGTGGAAATTGCGCAAAATTTCAGCTTTTTTCAAATATTTTTTCGAGGACCCTTTGAAGCTCAAATCGTAGAGCTATCTGCATTTTTGTAGAAAAAAAATTTTTCCTAAAGCTCTTTTCCAAATGATAAAAAAAAATTCTTAATTCTGATCGGCTTTCATGTGCTAAAAATCAATAGAAAAAAGCCAAATCCATTTTTTTTAATCGGGCAAAATTTAGAAGCTCAAACTTCAGTCAAAATCCTAATATTCCTTTTTTTCTTCTATATAAAAACATTGAAACTTTTTGGCTGAACTGGTAAGTCCTTGAATTCGCTGCAAAAGGTCACAGGTTCGACCCCACTCCCCGGTTTTTTTGACATTTTTTTCAATAATATTTTTAAATCTATTTTTTTCTGAGTCACAAGACGCCCCGCCTTGATTTTTATTTTCTTAGATGCATTTATTCAATAAAAGCTACTTGGCTCAATCGGCAAGGCTCCAAAAGTTGATTCACAAGGTCACAGGTTCGACCCCACTCCCCGGTTTTTTTTGCCATTTTTCAAAAATATTTTTAAAATATTCTCTTGAGTCACAAGACATCTCACCTTGATTTTAATCTTCTTAAAAGCCTCAATTCAATAAAAGCTACTTGGCTCAATCGGCAAGGCTCTAAAAGTTGGTCCGAAAGGTCACAGGTTCGACTCCCCTCCCCGGCTTTTTTTTTGCCATTTTCAAAAATATTTTAAAACTACTTTTCTGAGTCACAAGACATCCCACCTTGATATTTACCCATTAAAAAAACAAATTTCTTTCGAAATCAAGCGAAAAAAATGAGCATTTTCCGGTTAGCGCACCCGTGAAAGCTGTCAAACGGGGTTTATTGACTGAAGGTGAAACGGGAAAAATGGGTTCACTCGATCCGAAGAAACTTCTAAGATTTATTGATCTGATCGAATTATTACTGAAAATTCGAAAAATCGGAAAAAAATGGTTCGTTTCTACTCGTCCCGCATCGCCATGACCTTGGTAGGTGAAATTTGAAGAATTCAAATTTTTGGATCGAATTTTTCCTATTTTTTTCCAAGATTTAAATAATTTTTTTGTAGTTAACGCTTGTTTGAACTTTGAAATAAGAATCTAAAAATTTAAAAAAATCCTTAAAATTGCTTAAAAATTGCTCAGAAATTAGAAAAACTAAACTTTTTCCGCTTTTTTTAAGGTCTCTATTTAATTTCTTTAAGCTTTCGTAGAACCGTTTATACTAATATATATATTAGAAATCCTCTGCCCCATTCGAAAAAAAGTCAAAATCGCGGCTTTAAAAAATGGCAAAAATCCGAAATCCCTGGACAGGGGTCGAACTTGGGACTTATTTCTTCGTCGTTAGGAGCTCAACCGGTTGAGCCAAGGTCTCCATTTTCTTGACCTTTCACGTCATCAACTCAAACCACTCAGTTTTGGACTAAATCACAATTTTAAAAAAATGCAAAAATCAATTCTCCCTCGACGGGGAATGAACCTGGAACCTTCGGTTAAGAAACAAGCATCTTCCCCATTCATCCAAGCTTCTACTATTTTAATAAATCAAAATCTCAGGGTTTTTAAAGTTTTCTTGTTCAGAAATGAATCAATTTAAATGCAGGATGATTTAAAAAAGAAAAAAAACGGCAAAAATCCAAAATTCCTAGGCTGGAGTCGAACTTGGACCATTTTCAAATGATGAATTCTCCATTTTTTTGATGATCTTTTTTTGAAAAAAACCGAAATATTCTCAGTTAGTTTTACTTACCGTTTCAGAAAAGCTTTATATCAAAATTTTTCTTCGATATAAAGTTCTGACGACGTTATAAAAACCGTTAAAAATCAATTAAAACCTATTTTCCAAAATTCCACCGTAGTCTTAACTTTTTCCCCATCGTAAATCTTCGAGTTCCCCGAAATTGAGCGCCAAAAAAGGACGTGAAAAAAATGGTTCTACTCCTAAGCCACGCCCCCTTTTTCTCCGCCTATTTTTTTGCTTTTTCCTGGAAGCAATTCCTAAGCATCATTTTGCGTGGGGAAGAGCTTTCATTTTTTTCCGTATTTTTCTGTTTTTTTGAATAAATATCATAAATCCTCTGAAGGTGGCTATATAGGAAGCGACGAAAAAAACACATTTTTTTCAAAAAAATCACCAGAATATCATTTTTTTCCTTGTTGAAACTTGTTGATTTTTTTCGTTTTTAAATAAGAAAAAAAGGCAAAAAAATTTTTTTCAGCCATTTTTTTCGAAGAAAGTACGCTCTAAAGTAGAAAAAAGTTCAAGGAATCCCTTAAGGAATACCTTCAGAAGTATATTTATACACTTATTCTTTGATTTCTAATGATAAATGGCTTCTTGTTACGTCGAAAATTATTTTTAATCTTGAAAAGAAGCTACCGTAACTCTTAAAAGTACAGTAGAAAAAACCAAAAAAAAACTTTTTCAACTCATTTTCCCGTTTCAGAAAATTTATAAATGCAAGGCTCGATTGAAAAAATTCGCTTTTGTAGAATTAAATTACACCGTAAACTTGAAAAAAAGCTACAGTAACCCTGGTTTTGTCAAAAACTTTCCCTTCGAGACCTCGGCATCCACAGTAGATATTAAAACTGAGAATTCGCAAAACAAAGCTATCGTAACCCTAAAAACCCAAAATAACTACAGTAACCCGACCTATTTTCTTTTCATGACCTCTGAGAAGTGGAAAAGACGACCGGAAGGGTCCAAGTTCATAAAATAATATCGCATTTCGACCTGACGAAGGGAGGAAAAAGTCGTCTCGAATTTCTCTCAGTTGTTCGGTTCGAACTTCTTTTTTCCTTGGCCTCAGGAGCTCATAATTTTTCTTTTATATCATCTTGATTTCATCATTTTTTCGTTTCCTTGATGATAATTTGAAAAAAATCACCGGCAAAAATTAATTCGACGCGCAGGGGAGTCGAACTCGCGACCCCTTGAACTACGGTTTAAAGCGCTACCAGCTGAGCCTGATATTCACATGAACTCTATTTCATCAAACTTGATTATCTAACATCTTACTTTCCTCCTACCCCTTTAAATTCGACAAACAACGCCTCAATTGATGTCACAAAGGTTACGGGTTCAATCCCCATCGGAACGAATACTTTTTTGCTATTTTTTTTTCACGTCCCTGGACCATTAAAATGATTAAAAAATGATTTTTCAGGCTCAAAGACAACAAAGAATGGCGGTTTCATCCAACATGATGCAGTTCTCCGAGGACATCATCAAGCAGGTTCGCCCGAAGAATTAAATTTGAATAAATTTTTCGTTTTCTAAGAACTTCCCCATTCTAGAGCAAAGAACGACGAGAAAAAAAAAACTAGAGGTCTTAGAATAGTTTCCGGCAATTTGGACAGAACTTGATACACTATTTTAGCCTGAAAACGTCCGCATTTTACAGCTAACACCGGAGGAAATCGACGAATTCCGGGAAGCTTTCATGATGTTCGACAAGGACGGAAATGGGACCATTTCGACGAAGGAGTTGGGAATCGCGATGCGGAGCTTGGGCCAGAACCCAACTGAACAGGTGAGATTCGGGTTGAGAAACACTCAAGTGGCCACTTGAAGATGGAAAATGGGGAAAAAGTCCCGAAATGCTCGGAAATCTAACGAAAAAAACGGCTTGTTTTTTTGAGAAGAATCAAACATTTTTTTGTGTAAAAATTATGAAATTTTCAAGACTTCTATATGTAAGCTTCTGTACTAGCGGAAGGAAAAACCCTCAAATAGCCACTCAACAAAAAAAATAATAAATAGAAAAAAATCCGGTGGAAAGTTCGAAAAACCGTCTTAGACTCAACATAAAAGCCTTTTTTTTGAGAAAAATCAAGAAAAAATAAATTTTCGACTAAATTTATGGAGCTTCCAAGGCTTCAGACAATTCGCCTTGAGACAAAACTCCAAGTGGTCTCTTAAGGGAGGAGAAAATCGAAAAAAAACAGAAAACCAGTCAAAAAATCAACTCAAAGTTTGAAAAAGAATTTTATTTTTGGGGAAATTTTTTCACCTCGATTCCCAGCTTCTCCTACACTCTAGCGTGGTTCGAAAAAAAGCCAATAAAACTGTCTAAACCTCTTATTTTCGTATACTATTTCGTTGATAGATCAAAAATCTGTCTCAGAGTGTTATATAAGCCATAAAACCTATAGAAAAATTTTTTTTTAACGGAATTTTCAAAAATTCCATTCTAGCTCTACTAAAATCATATTTCATCTTTCGATCTCCCACCAAAAATCCTCGTACATATTTTCAATATTTTACCTTCTCCTGAAACCGTAACTTCAGTTATTTTGAAATTATCCAAAAACACAAAAATCGAAATTATTCGGACCCCATTTCCAAAAATCATATTTTACTAAACTGAAACCAAGAAAAACTCCTTGAACCATTTATTTTGATTATTTTGCTCCAGAGAAGTCCCTATAGGGGCAACCTTGATCCCTTGGAGGGTCCCCTCTGCCAACCCTTTTAGGGACCACTTGAGCTTTAGAGACTAAAGGGTCAGATCCAAATCCTATAGGGGCAGTCTTTCTTCCTAACCCCTATAAGTATCACTCTAAGATTCCTAAGTTCCAAAAAATCAGATCTCAACTATACTTTATCCGAAAATTCCGTACCTCTTCATATTCCCCGCTTTTCCCTGTCCGTCAATCATTTTCTCGCCTTTAACCTCGCCATCCAGAGCAACTGACCCCCTCGAACGTCACTAGTCAAATCGAAAATGCGGCTTTTCCGCGTTCCCTGCAAAAAGCTCGTTGAGACATTTTCAGGTGTGTAAGAATTTCTGAGCATTCTTCCGTGTCAACTTCTTTTTTGCACGACTAAAAGTTTGCAGGAAGATAATTCTTTTCATGTGATCTAGGATGTCTTTGAGCACTCTAGGGATCACTTAAGATCGCTAAAGTGGTCCCTAGAACTTGGAGGTGCTGACGCCACTAAAGTGGGTCCCTAGAAATTTTCAAAAACCTCCAGGACTCGTCCTGTTCGCGTTAAAAAAGTTCAAAAAAGCAAAAATCAAAAAATCGCCTTGAAACTCTCAAATTTGTGTGCTCTGAGACTGTTTTTCGTTGATTTTTCCCAGAAAAAGTTGAAATTTTGTAGATAATTCTCCAAAATCTCAAATTTCAAGCCTATGATTATCATTTTGACAACGAAAACCGAAATTATCATAAAAAAATACGAAAAACAGTTAAAATTTCCATTTCAAGCGCAAAAACCAACCAATTACGGACTTTCAGTCTACAGTAACCTTATAGAAAAAATCCAAAAAAAGAGCATTTTTTGATCCTGTCTCTTCAGAATGATAATTTTCACGTCATTGGAAAAAGAAACGCGCAAAGTCCGCATACACCATCGCCCACACACTTTCAGCCTACAGTAACCCAAAGATCTCATTTTTTTGCGCTTACTTGCTAAATTTTTAAAGAAAATGAAACACGATCCAAGTTTTAGAATGATTTCACAAATCCACGAATATTTTCATGTCAAAAAATATTTTTTCATGTAAAGTTTGAAAAAATAGCCACCAAAAGCTCAGACTTTGTGTGCTCGGCGGCTAATTTTCCAAGAAAATGAAAAATCAACCTTTTTTTTTTTTAATTTTTCAGAATCGAAAATCTTTAAAATGCCTTTAAAAATTCTTTTTTAACACTGTCATTATCAATGGAGCGCAAAAGCCTTTCTTAAGTTTTTTCTTTGAATTTTTCCGTTTTACACCCCTCAAGTGCCCACTTAAGAATCCTCTCAAAGATCTAATCCAAAAATTCCACTCGAAATCCCATCAATTACTCAGAACACGGAACATGGAGAAAAAAAAAGTTGGCTTCTTGAAAAATGATGAAAAATTTGGGGTCCTTCAAATTCCATCACCTTCATTTTTCATTTCCGAATTTTTCCTCCGCACTTCTAAGAGGATCAGAAGTCCTTCAGGGAAGTGAAAAATTTCTAGTTTGGTCAGGAAATTTTGAAAAAAAGCTCTACTAATTACAAAAAATCAAAATTTTTTCCAAAAAATTCAGAAAATCCTTGTTTTTTGTTGATTAATCTAATGAAACAGGAATAATTTAGTGTTTTCTTCTTTCAAATTAAGCTTAAAAGCCGAGAATCTACTAAAAAACATTTTGAGAATGCAAAAATTGAAATTTTTGAGTTTTGTGATGAAAATTGAACGAGATTTTGCTTCCGGGAAACTTTTTTTAATAAAAAAAATTTTTTATTGCATTTTTTTGAGTTTCTCAGTACAATAAAAAAAGCACAGTAGAATCAGGAAAAATTCATTTTTTTCAACCACAAAAATATAAAAAAATACTACTATTACTTTTTAAAAAAATCAGTTCAAAAAGCCCGAAAATCCCCATTTTCGACCCTTTTTCCCCCCAAAAAAACACTCGAAATTTTCCCACAAACTCTGTTTTCCGCCCCAAAAAAATAGCCTCACTCCTCTGGAAATTCCAACTTTTTGGAAGAATGGAAAATCACGCGCTTTGAGAACATATCAAGTCAAGTCATGAGGGAAATCTCCGAATTTGGTCCAAAAAACTCGTTTCGTATAGTTGAAATCAAGAAAAATCTTGTTTTCCAAGAGGGGAATGAAGTTTGAGACTTGGAACTTGAGAAGAACTTTCAAAAATGATTCGAAAAGCTCATTTTGAAGCCAAAAAATGGGTTTTTCCCAGAAAAGGGGATGTTTTTACTCATTATTACTATAAAAACATGGAAAATCAGCAAGTGGGTGTGAGAAAAATCACAAAAATGTATTACGAGCCTCTCTTTTTGAAAAAAACTCAATTGAAAAAAAATGGCAAAAAATCCTCGTCACCGAGAGGAGTCGAACCGTTGACCTTTTTAACGATAGATTAACGTGCTATTCACTGCTATGAGCTACAAAAAAAGGGAAAAAATGTTTTTCTGAGTCTCTTTTTGAGCAAAAGAAAAAGACAGAAAACTCATTTAAAAAATGGCAAAAAAATCCTTGTCCCCGCAAGGAGTCGATCCCTTGACCTTTTTGGTGATGAGTTAACGTGCTACGTACTGCGCTAAACATATCAGCTATATTTTTGAAGTTTTCTTGATGCAAATTTGAAAAAACTAATATTCTTTTTTTGAAAAACTGAAATTTTCAAATTTAAAATTTACAAAAATTCAAAATCAAACTTGATATGGTCTCCCTCAAGTTTTAAAAAACTTCTGAAACAGGAAAATCAAAATTTTGCCGAATTTTCAGGAAATCCTGGAAATGATCAACGAGGTCGATATCGATGGCAACGGGCAAATCGAATTTCCCGAATTTTGCGTTATGATGAAACGGATGATGAAGGTATCCATATTGCTCATGTTACCTAAAAATTATCGATTATTTTTTTCAGGAAACCGACTCGGAAATGATCCGTGAAGCTTTCCGCGTTTTTCGACAAAGGTTGGTTTCGTTATTTAATTTTAAGAATGAGAAAAAAATCAATAATTTACAGACGGAAATGGTGTCATCACAGCTCAAGAGTTCCGCTACTTCATGGTGAGATTTTTTTCGAATTTTTTTTAGAATTTTTTTTTTCAATTTCCGTGCGAAAATTAAAGTTAAAACAAAATTTTAATTAAAAATTAAAAAAAAAAATTTCCAGGTCCACATGGGAATGCAGTTTTCTGAAGAAGAAGTCGATGAAATGATCAAGGAAGTCGACGTGGATGGTAATTTTTTTATTAAATAATTTTGAAAAAGCTCAAAAATTGAATTTTACGCGCAAAGGCCGCAAACACAGGCCCTTTGCGGACTCTAATCCTACAGTAACCTTGTCAAGAAAAAAAGGACATTTTTCGAAAACTCCTCTTCAAAATAATGATTTCCTCGTTATTGGACATGACACGCGCAAAGTCCGCATACACCACTACATACACACTTCCAGCCTACAGTAACCCAAAAATCGTTTTTCAACAAATGTGCTTCAGGCGACGGTGAAATCGACTACGAAGAATTCGTCAAAATGATGTCCGATCGTTAATATGAGCAACACTTAGCAATAATGTACAGCGAATCGCAGAAAACCGGTTTTCATCGAGAAATTTTCCAATTTATTCTTTTTTTTTTCCTTTACTTAATTAACATACCTATACGAGAGCTTGCACGGCACAGTGGGCGTGTTTTCCTTCAATCCTGAGCAATAAATTTGACACGCCCACACAATTTTGCACATTCCTCGTCACTCTGTAATTTTGACATTCCAGTTGTAATCATTTGAAAAATTATTATCCCATTTTTTGGATCTTTTGACCTTCTCAGGATCAAATGGATAATCTCTCGTTTACTTGTACGTCTGCACTGTAGAAAGCTTTTGTCAATCAATAACTTTTTGTTCAAGAAAAAAAAAGAAAATGTAATAAAAATTTGTACAAAAACATGTTTTTGCTTTGAAAAGGGAAAGAAAAACACTTCGATTTGAAAATTTCATCATTACACAGTGTGATTGTAAGTATGTAGATATTCAACAGAGCAACGAAAAACAAAACTTATAATACATGAAAAGCAGAAAATGAAATTCGTAAATCTACTCACCAAGTTTGCGCCAGTGATTGTGTGATGGCGTAAATTTGGTGGCTTGCGTCTTTCACGTGCAAAGTTTTCACAAGATTTCCAATAATATTTTCTGTTTATTCAATTATTTTCTTCAGATTTTCGAATTTTCCGTAAGAGTCAAATATAAGAAGCTGAAAGGCTAAGTCATTTTCGAAGTAATTCCCGCGAAACACAAAATTGTTTCTGATTCTCCAAAAATTATTTATCTTTTTCACTCTCTGACGACTGTTTCGGATATCGCGAACACGGCATCACTTCTTCAAAAAACCGTTCAAGATTGGTTCTTAGAACCAAATTCATCGAATCAAAAATATTCTTAAAAAAATACAACACGAATCAACATTTTATTATCAAAAAAAGAACGATCAGGAGAACAAAATAAATTAGAAATGAAAGACGCGTTTGAATCAATAAGATATGTACATTTTCCGAGGGAATTAGCAGACTTGCTGACAATGTTCGCAGCAGAGCTTTTCGTTCCAGAATATCGTGCAATACCTTAAAAAAGAGATGACAATTTTTAGAAAATCGACTTTTTTTTGATTTTCAGTGTTCGTAAAAAGAAACTCGCTTTTGTAATATTTGCAGCTTCAATACTTGTCGTTGTATTTTTTTATTTATTTATCCAGGTTTTATAATTTGCTCGGAAGGTCTTTTTTTGATAGGCTGGAAATTTATGAAAAAAATCTTTTTCCATTTAAAAAAATTCTATTTCATAAAAAAATATGTTTATAATTTGTCCGTATGTCAGTTACAAACTATTTATTTTGCAATTTTTCAAGTTTATCGTTATTTTTCTCAATGCCTTTCAATTAAATTCTGATATCTTTTGATACTTTTTATACCTAATTAGATGAGTAAAAAAAGGTTTGTAAAGCCTGTCAATATATTAGAGAGCTTAAATAACTTTTAAAAGCTTTTCCTTTCGAAAAATATTTTTTTAACAAGTCTTTGATACCTTCTTAAATGAGTTAATCGGGCCGGCATGGCCGCGACGCAAGCTCGGGACATTTGGAGTTGGGAGACTTGGTTGAGTTCTTGGGAAGGTTGTGAGGAAGGTCGTCGTTGGGGCGAAGGTGCGGCTCTGAATATATTTCGATTTTATCTTCTTCAAAAATGTTTTACTTATCATTTTTTTTTCTATAATTTTCAACTTGTTCATATTCTAACTCACAACGGATCAATGGGACCACTCCTTGAACCTTGAATTTCCTGATTCGGATAGCCATTTTCAGTGAGGAACTGCAGGACGTCCGAATAGGTTGTAGTCATTCTGGAAGTATAAAAATGTTAAGAATTGGCTATAGAAAAAAAAAATGATGAAAATTTTCACATGAGCGGTGTTCAAAAAGCATATCTTCCTTGTTCTGTTACCGTAATCCCCGGTTACGGTAGGGGAAAATGGCTCAAAAAGTTGTGTTTGCATTTCTGACGTCATGTGATAACACTGGGTGAAATAAAAATCGCATTGTAGTGGACGAAAAAGTGGTCCCTATAGGGGTTCAAGATCTGACCCTTTGGCCCCTAAAGCTCAAGTGGACCCTATAGGGGTAAATTAAGGGGTCCCTATAGGGGTTTAGGATCTGACTCCTTAGCCCCTAAAGCTCAAGTGGTCCCTATAGGGGTAAATTAAGGGGTCCCTATAGGAGTTTAGGATCTGACTCCTTAGCCCCTAAAGCTCAAGTGGTCCCTACAGGGGTAAATTAAAGGGTCCCTATAGGAGTTTAGGATCTGACTCCTTAGCCCCTAAAGCTCAAGTGGTCCCTACAGGGGTAAATTAAGGGGTCCCTATAGGGGTTTAGGATCTGACTCCTTAGCCCCTAAAGCTCAAGTGGTCCCTATAGGGGTAAATTAAGGGGTCCCTATAGGGAGTTTAGGGATCTGACTCCTTAGCCCCTAAAGCTCAAGTGGTCCCTATAGGGGGTAAATTAAGGGGTCCCTATAGGGAGTTTAGGGATCTGACTCCTTAGCCCCTAAAGCTCAAGTGGTCCCTATAGGGGTAAATTAAAGGGGTCCCTATAGGGGTTTAGGATCTGACCCCTTAGCCCCTAAAGCTCAAGTGGACCCTATAGGGGGTAAATTAAGGGGTCCCTATAGGGGGTTTAGGATCTGACCCCTTAGCTCCCTAAAGCTCAAGTGGTCCCTATAGGGGTTTAGGATCTGACCCCTTAGCTCCTAAATCTCAAGTGGTCCCTATAGGGGTAAATTAAGGGGTCCCTATAGGAGTTTAGGATCTGACCCTTTACCCCCTAAAGCTCAAGTGGACCCTATAGGGGTAAATTAAGGGGTCCCTATAGGAGTTTAGGATCTGACTCCTTAGCCCCTAAAGCTCAAGTGGTCCCTATAGGGGTAAATTAAGGGGTCCCTATAGGGGTTTAGGATCTGACCCCTTAGCCCCTAAAGCTCAAGTGGACCCTATAGGGGTAAATTAAGGGGTCCCTATAGGGGTTTAGGATCTGACCCCTTAGCTCCTAAAGCTCAAGTGGTCCCTATAGGGGTTTAGGATCTGACCCCTTAGCTCCTAAATCTCAAGTGGTCCCTATAGGGGTAAATTAAGGGGTCCCTATAGGGGTTTAGGATCTGACCCTTTACCCCCTAAAGCTCAAGTGGACCCTATAGGGGCCAACTTAATTTAAAAAGGCTGAATTATACAGTTTTTCGCATGGAAATGCTTCTTCGCATAGAGCTGACCAGCATGCCCCCTTAAGGGACCACTTTTGCAAGCTTGAGTGGCCCCTATAGGGGTTGGTAAAGTGGTTTAGGGAACCCGAAAGTTGACCCTCTAGGGACCACTCTTGAGCTCCTAAAAACCTGTAATTGAATTCGACGGTGAAGCAGGCGGCAATCCGGGCCGAATTGTGCAGACACTGCAGGGCCCAGCCGGACTTGCAGTCCTCCATATTACAGTACAAATAGGACAGCGAATCGCAGCCTTCGTGTCGATTATAGCAGCAGGAACACTGCAAAATCGGAATTTCAATCTTCTTTTTGGTTCAAATTTACATCTTTGGATCCTGCGAACCAGCGCGACTTCGTTATCGACGGCTTTTCGGAGGTGATCAAGTTGAGGAAGACTTGGAATCGGCCTCTCTGAAAGATTTAGGCTGATAAGGACCATCGCCGACTTTCCTACGAGCTACAGAACCCTTCCCTTGGCAGCGCGTGGCAGGTCTCAGTTCATGCGCCTTTAATAGTGCAAAAATTTCAGGCCTAATTAAAGGCGCATACAAAATGTAGGCCGCGCACATCAAAGAGAAGCTTCCCAGAATGGTTTTGCATCTCGGAAGAAAGATAGAAATCGTGAGGTTGGCGCGGAATTCTTCTCGATGCGTTTAGCTTGTCACTGCGCATGCGCCTTTAATAGCCTTTAATAACGGAAATTCATATTAAAGGCGCATACAAAAATGTAGGTCGCGCACTTCGAAGAGAAGCATCCCAGAAGGGTACTGCAACTCGGAAAAAAGATGAAAACCGTCACAATATGGCGCGAAATTCCTTTCGATGTCCCTGTGCATGCGCCTTTAATAACAGAAATTCAAACTAAAGGCGCATACACTAAGGCAGGCCGCCCACTTCGAAGGGAAGCTTCCCAGAATGGTTCTTCAGCTTGGCGGAAGAGAAAAATCCTGACAAGCTGGCGCGAAATGCCCACTTCGCATGCGCCTTTAATAACGGAACTTCAAATTTAAGGCGCATACCAAAAATTAGGCCTCGCGCATCAAAGGGAAGCTTCCCAGAAGGGATCAGCAGCTCGGAAAAAAAAAAAAAAAAAAAATGGAAATCGTGACAATTTTGCGCGGAACGCCCAATTTGCATGCGCCTTTAATAACGGAAATTAAAATTAAAGGCGCATACAAAAATGTAGGTCGCGCACATCAAAGAGAAGCTTCCCACAAGGGTTCTGTAGCTCGGAAAAAGATGAAAATCGTGACAATATGGCGCGAAATTCCCTTCGACGCGCGTGGCTTGTCCCTGTTCATGCGCCTTTAATAACGGAACTTCAAATTAAAGGCGCATACCCAAAATCAGGCCGCGCGCATCAAAGGGAAGCTTCACAGAAAGGTTTTTTTTTAGCTTGGCGGAAAAGAAAAATCGTGTCAATTTAGCGCGGAACGCACACTTCGCATGCGCCTTTAATAACGGAAATTAAAATCAAAGGCGCATACACAAAGGAAGCTTCCCAGAATGGTTCTGCAGCTCAAAATGAAATAAAAATCGTGAAACGTGCGGAATGGGCTATAAAATTATAATATTAGCTGACCCCTTTATTGAGCCTCTTCTTGATCTCGTCGTCGACGCCTTGGACCTTCCCTCGGATCATATTTTCCAAGGTGGACCTCGTCGGAAGTTGGATCGTCCTTTTTGAAGTCGTACTCATCGGCGGATATGTGACCACAGCTCGCCGTTTTCGAAGATCCTTCCCCTTCG